CAAGAGTCTGTGTGTACAATTCAGTGGCATTGATTCCGTCCACCGAGTTATGTAACCGTCCTCACTGGTGGTGCAGCAGGCTGCACCCTGAGCTGCTCATCGACAGGTCAACAGTTTGAATCACCAGCCTTTTGCTGAACGAAGGTGAGCCGTCTACTCCCGTAAAAGATTTATGCCTCTGAAACCCAAAGGTGCAATTCTGCCCTGTCCTGTAGGGGCACTATGGTTGGCATCTACTCAGTGGCAGAGAGCTTAAGAGAGAGTTCTTTGAAAGAACCCAAGGCTCAAAGCAGTTGCTAGTTAAATTGTAGCATTCTTTGGTTAAAAGAATACATCAGGGAACATTTTGACTTTGACGTTTACAGATAGATTATCCCAGGGCACTAGTTTGGGGAGTGGCACAGCCACTCCAGAAAACCTGGATTCTGTGGGAATTTAGAATTCTGTTCAACATAACCCCCTTTTGATCAGGATTCTTCTGCAGACTCTCAGGTCTTCAGATGGTCACATCAGTTGTGCATTGGCTGTAGGTTTTACCTGGCTGCCCAGGTGAGGCCAAGCCCCACAGCTCTCCTGGGTCTTTCCCGGCCTTTCTCACCATGGGATGCAGCAGCACACACCACGTGTCCCAGTTAAGATGATGCATCTTCATTTGCCCCTTGTTCCCTTGCACCTCCTTGGTTTCTATTTTGCCAGCTCCACAAACCTCACGATAAGCACCGGTCTGGCCAGACTGACACGCCTGTGTCTAGGTGCCAGTGTTGGCAGCACCAGGGGCCTATAAGCTCAAGGGCCAAACCCTTCCCAAGCTCACTAGGGTCTTGAGCAAAAACCATGGCACAAAAGTCAGGATTACCATGAGCACTACGGATACCAGAGCTGAGGTACCGGGAAGGATAGTCCTCCCTACAGCCCGGGGGAGCGCTGGCCTCAGACATATAGGTCCCCAATGGCAGGAGAAGGCCACTGTCCAACAGAAGGGACAAGCCACCTGTGCTGAGAGGAAAGCTGGTGTGAAAACAGCCCACCTTTGGGGGTGGGGGTGGGGGTCTTGTAAGTCACCGGGCTAACTCACCAGGCAGAGGGTGAGTCTGCTGAGCTGTGGTCGGCTAGCTGGCGTCAGCCTGCACTTGAGCTGTCCTAATGACGGGCACCTTGCTCTCCCCGAGGTGGCTCCTGCCCTGTGAGCGCCGGCGTGGTCCTCGTAGTCAGTCTGAACCAAGCAGATCCCTACCTTTGTGCCCCCTCTGGAAGAGGACTGACCAGTGTGTGCACACTCGCAGGGATTAAAATGTCACCCGGCAGAGCCCTGTAAGACAGCTATGGACCGTCGTGCCGTGCAGGGTTTGGCACCACCCCCAAGTGGCAGCACTTCCATGTCCCCTGGCCCTTTCTCAGCTCTGCCCCGCCACAGTTCAAAGAAAGAGGGATCTGGATTTACAGGTCCCGGTTTGAGGCAAGTACCACAAGGCTACCGGTTCCAAGCCCCCAGCTGCTCTACGGGAGAAAGGCGAGGCGTCTTCATACATGACAATCTGCAGCCCCGGAGACCCCTGGAGGGTTGCTGTCAGTTAGAGCCGACTGGCTGGCAGTGGGTTTGGGTTTCAGTTTACTGTGCACAGAGCCCTCCTGGCACAGTGGCTTACACACGCACTCCAGTGTCACCATCCTGCAGGGAGGTGGGCCTTGTGACACATCCTCCCCTCCTAGGACTTCATTCTTTAGGGTTACCGTTAGGGTAGCCCTCTGTGGACACCCACCCGTAGAGTCTGGGACTGCTCGCAGGTCATGCCCAACTCGTCAGGGCTCTGGTTCACTCTTTAGAACATCATAGACGGGCCACTCCCAGCCGTCTGACCACAGTAGACAGGTTCTGGCCAAATAGGAGGAAAACGGAACAGAACCTCGACTTCCTCAAAACGAAGCGGGGGAGGCAGGCTTGCTGGAATGGTTGGGCTGGAGGACTCCCGGCCTGGGACCCTGGGGT